TGTTGACTGCTTCTCTCTCTCTCTCTCTCTCTCTCTCCCTCCTTCTCTGCTTCAACGCCCATTGCTCGTACATTCAATGGGCCGCAAAAGCCAATGCGTCAAAAAGAAAATTAACTACGCGACGCTCGGCTTCATTAATCTGGGAGCTTCGCAAGGTCGGGCTACGTGCGACGCATCTCCAAAGAGTCGGCGCCCTTCCTCTGCAGTAACTCCACCTCCGCGCTGCGACACTCGCGATCGTGAACTTCGCTCGCGCTACCACCGTATTCCTGCAGCAGACTGAGGGTCAAGGTCGCACAGCAGCCTCATCGGCCTAAGCGTGTGTCGCGCCTCATGGCCTCATAACCCATGCCGCGGTGACATTAGGCGTAACATTCACAATCCTTGAGCGTCCTTGGCCCCTGTCACCGCTTTTTTCCTCATGAGGCTTATTTTATGGACAACATATTCATTACTTGCCTCGTATCTTCAGCTTTTACTCTATTATATTAGTGATTTTAGAAACAATCCGAGGAGAGATTTAAATCTTTTTATCAGCCCAATTTCTGAAATTTTAAGCAAATTTAGAGAGCCACTTCCTCATAATCTTAGGTATAAGAAATTAGAGAATGTATTATATTGCCTTTTTACGACTACCATTCTATTAATAATATCCATAAGCATGAAATAGCTTATGATTTTAAAGAGAATATTCAATGCATTTTGTTTATTTAATTTTTGAACTAATTTCCTAAAGTGCGGAAACATTTTTTAATAAAATTTTCAGACTCGAAAATTTCGGAAACTTTCAACTATTAAAAAAGTTTCCGATACTTCTAGTTTTTCTGCATATGATATAAATTATCATTTATCTGATAAATGATTACTTACGTCAGCATCGAGACTTGATTTATATTTTATTTCTACTATATTTAATCATTTTCTAATAAAAATACTAATTACTTAAGTAAGATCTTTCTTTTATAATACAGTGTAATAACGTAAAATGAAATACTAAAAAACTAATATATAATTTAGCATAAGATAAAAATAATTATGATCATTATTAATAAAATGAATTAACATTTATTATTAATTCAAATTTATACAAATAGCAAATAATGGTGTATTTAAATTATAATGAATGGATGGATATCCATTTTTTATAACAATTTAAAGTTTAAATCTCCAACAGAGATTTTTCTAGATAAAAGTTATCTTTACACTGCAATATATTTTTCATATCTATTTTGTATTATTTAAATATATTATTTATAATGTTGAAAGATCTTAGGTAGTAGAAGATAAATTATACTCGCTCTTAGTCATGTGACATATAAACCCTTAATGTTTACGACTAGCATTGCAAATATATTATTAAATTCAGAAAAATATAAGTAAGAAACCGACGAAATAAATTTTGTAACGAAGAATAGAAAAGTATAACGTCTATATGTAAAACATTTTTTATTATTATAATGTTTAAGAAAAAAAGATGTGCAAGTATATAGACTGTGAGATATACGTTAAAAAGATTCGAGAAATATTTAGAATTGAACGAGATAGCTTTGAAAATATCAAAATAAAATTGAAAAATATCATATACTCGTAAAGAAAAGTTACTTACAGAAAATTATTTAAATATTAGAAATAAATTTTGTTGATAATGAAAACAATATTATGTAAAAAATAAATGAGAAAAATAGAAAACTAGAAGATAAATAAAGACCAAAATATAATAACATTTAATATGAAGATTAAAAAAATTAATGAAAGCACGTACGAAAGATTAAAAAAAAATTTATAAATTAGCTAAATAAAGAATATAAAGAAAGAAAGAAAGAAAAAATTATATAAATTACCGATTAAATTGAAGAAAATTAGATCGTAAATTTAAAAAAGCAAAAAAAAATAAAAAAAATGAATAATAATATATGAGAGAATAGTAAAAATGTCTTCATTTGTACGTATAAATGACGAGACGCAATAAAGAGGGGAAAAAGAATAAAAATTATAGTATAATATGTGAACAAGAATAAATAGCAATAATTGTTGTATTTGTAATAAAGTAATGAAGGGCATAATAATAATATGATTTTCAAAAATAGCAAAAACTAATGAAACTAAATTAAGGTATTAAATATTAATATATTAATATATTCATTTTTCAGCTCTAATCCTTCTATTCTCATTGCATTAAATGTAACATGCAAATACGCAATTTATCAAATTAATTTTTATAACTAAACGCGTAATAAATTATTTTTCTATTAATTAGTTATTGTAATATAAACACACAGAATTAAATGTTTAATAAGAAAATCAAAAGTACGAAATTGTACATAATTGTGCGGTGTTTAGTAAGAAATAGTTAAATATAATCAATTATGAGATGCTATTCGTGCCATCTTAAACTAAAAATATATCGATTGTACATATATATTAAATAACATTGAAAAATAATGAGAAGTATAAAAACATTCATTATAACTATGCTGAAATACCTTAAATAATTTAATGACATCGTATAGCCGAAACGACCGAGGAAAATAGTAATGAGTAAATAAGTTATAATTAAGAAGATTCGTCGCGTACTCTGCTAGTACATATTTTTCCACATTCTGCCACGTAACTTTTTACACGATCGTTAAACCGTTAATTACCAAGAAGAAAGCAAGCACCGAGGAAAGTCGGGAAGTCAAAAAGTCGTTAAAAGCGTTGGGAAGTCTGGCGAAGGAAAAAAAAATCATTGCACGATACACGAATCCGCAGCTGGGCAATACGAAACACGCAAAGTCCATCGACACCCAGCCATTTCACGAGATGCCTTTCCTCGTCACCCGGATAATTCGCGACCTTGACCCTTGGCTGCACGCGCGACCCTCGTTTGCGAGTTATTTCGTTATGCAGGGATTTATTTTTTCCATCTAAGCGCAGTGGCCTAGACTTTCTGTACTCGTGGCTTCTTCCTCCATAGCTATAATAATACTGTCAAAAACATTGGTTCTTTTTGTTTATGCGACGGAATCATCCGTATCTATGCTCTTTATTATCGGTAACAACTTTAGATTAGCACCAAAAGCTCATCTTATAAAATTTTTTCATCCAACTTCAATGCGAAGATGGCACGAGGGTCCATTACTACGTCCTCTTTAAAGATCTATAAATCACGTTACATTAAGTAGTTACACTTATTTCGTGCATTACAAGCATTCGGATATTTAATGGCTATTTTCATCGTCAACGTCATGACATTCACAAGTTCAAAATAATTATACAAAGCATTTCTTATAACGTTAGTATAGGAATAGTTATAAAATTTTATTTCTTCAAATCATTGTTGGGAAATGAATGCATTATTTTGCAAAAAAATTAAGCTCGCTTAATTACCGCGGCGCATTAAATTGATTATTTTTAGATATCTAACATATTTACTTGTAGCTTTATTTGTAAATTATATAATAAGAAATAGGGAAATGAAGATATTGACGCATTACTACTGCAATACGAGCAATTCTCTTCAATTTCTATCTTAATCTTCATAAGCCCGTGCTTTATTTACTAAACATCTTTGCATTTATTTATATTACATTACTCACAAATACCCACACACACACACACACACACACGCGCGCGCGCGCGCGCGCGCGCACACACGCACACACACACATATTGATTATTTTATTACTCTATTAGACAAAAAGAAATTAAAAATTAACCGCATCTTCAAATCTGATCGTTGAAAATGAGAAATCTTAAATACAAATTTACAATCACTATTCAATTTTGTTATACCAAATCACTTCTAGCGATTAATTCAATCTTTATAAAGTGCTTAGATAGTAAAGTAATGTGTAAAAATATCATTAATAAGCTATTATTCTACTTTCTTACAATTTCATAATCTAATAATATATTTCAGTCAAAATAATGAATTATATTATCGTAAATTATAAACTATCTCTTACAGAAATTCAGTAAAATCTATTTAATATTCTAAATTACTTTAACCACTATGATATAGTAAGAAAAAAAAGGATACCGATTAAAAAATTATGACGGCTAATGTAATTATTATTTTAAAAAAGTATAAAATAAATATGAGGGTTACAATATTTAATGGTCGTTCGGATCAATTTTCCTATTTTCCTTATTTTGAATGTGTATTATAAAATATGGATGTATTATTCTCTCTATCTATAAATGACAATAAGTCGATATAATTTTAAACAATTAAAAAATCTTTAAAGATAATTGGAGAAATATTATTTATAGAAAGGCTATTCATTTTTTATAAGAAATTTTAAATAAACATAACTAGCGAAATTTTATTGCTCCTTAATATACATATGTAATTGATATTTTCGCTAACTTTGACGTTCATAAAAATTTTCTATGAAATTTGATATGCATACATACATATATATATATATATATATATTTAAGAAATAGTAAAATAATACTACAAATTCTTTTTATATAAAATATGAAACAATTATATAAGCATTAAGAAGACGATTAAAAAGAAGAAGAAAAAAGCAAGTAAAATTTCATATATTTAAGAAAATGTAATATATGTAAAAATATATAAATTCATTTTTAATTATTAGGTCATGAGATTTCCATGTTTTACAAAAACATTATTCAAATTATTCGTAAAATAATTGGTAGCAATGATAATTATGCAATATAAAAAAATATCATTAAAAGCATTTAAAAAATATTCTTTTGTTAATAAAAATCAATTTCATTATTAAAAAGAAAATGTTAAAGTACAATTTCAGAATTAATATTACGATAAAATTAATCGATAATTAAAATACCAAATCCAGAAAAATATATTATAGATTACAAATAGGATAAATAATAAATACACAGTTGATCGTAAATAAATTTTATGCTCACTTTGAGCTTACAAAATAGTTGTGGGAAAAACCGCAAAATGAGTTATTTTCTTTTACTCTCATAGCCCTTTCAACTATCAAGGAAACTGCCATTTACCTCTTTTTTTTCTTTTACAGTTCCACCAAACCCTTCTGACCTACATGCGGAAAAACGTGTGGGAGTTTCACTTTTACGTAGCTAATAACTGGCCCGAGGTTCCTGTATCTCTGCATTTTCCTGGGATGACACTCTCGGTAAATAATCATAATTACTCTAAGTTTATAATATATTTCTTCAGCTTCCTCGGGCTAGCAATTAAGATGTTTAATTATTTAAAAATATACAATATGTGCGCATCGATAATGCCGTATATTTTTCAAAAACAATTACATTTCTCATGATCAAATACGCAATTATTAGTAAAATTTATTCAACAAAAAACATTTAAATTGAAAATAAAAAGAATTATGAATCACTATAATGTAAATTTATTATTCAAATAAGTTAAAATTATTTCTATACGGTTTATTTCGTTTTAAAATTTCTATAAGCATATTATTACTATATTATTATGTTATTTATTAAAACCTATCTTGAAAATATAAAAAAGCAAAGCATTATTATTCTTTAACTCTCATGGATCATTGCTGCTCAACCGTATTATACGTTTTTATATGAAAAACTACATTATAATATTCATTCATCAAGAATTACCTAATTGTTTATGAATCAATGTTGATTTAATATCAGCACAATGTAAATTGAATATCTATAATTACATAAGTTAATGTAAATTTTCATCACATTAATTATAGAAGAAAATGAGAATTTGAAAATGGATTTGAATATTATAAACAAAAATGTTATATTATGCATTAAATCGTTAAAAAATATGAAAGTAATTTGATATTTAAAATTAAACATATGATAAATGGTTAATACAGAGTTATTTTAACACAGATTTAACACAGATAGATGACCTTGTATAGAATTACAGAATTACAGTTGAAGAAAGGATTTACTAAGAAATCAGTAAATCGTAAATATTATTAACTGAAATAAAGCAATAAATTAATATTTTATAAGAATAATAGTAGGCCTTCATAATTTGATAACACAGTAGTTTGACATGAATTTCATATTTGGTGCTCGAATGAGGACGTGGAAGGAAGTTGAAGAAATACTCTTGAATTATTCCGACGACAATTATGGATTTCATTTTATGGATGACGTATTAATATTTAGTGTATGTTGTTTAAATTTCTTACTCAAATTTATGATGCCATATTATATTATCTTTTTGCTTTATCTAAAATCGACTATTTGATTCAAATTTTTACTGATTAAAGGTAACGAAACTGTTAAAAATCTATTAATATAATCTGATTAATATAGCAGGATACGTATAAAATCTTGAATAAAGCATATAAAAGTACATTATTTTACTTATTGATCATTATTCAATGACTGATTGATTACATCTGAACATATGCAATGAAATAATAATGCTCATAATATAATATATAGTGTAATATGCCTCAGAGTCTGTATATTCCAACAGTAATATACTGCAGGAACCGCGAGCCGCTTCGTTTCTCTGACTATTTTTCTTTACCTATTCTGTGATAGTTACTCTTCGATATCGGTATATCGGTATCGCATATCGCTAATTAAACTCAACAAAGTCTTCGCCCTTCGTTTAAATTCTCCATTCGCTTGTTACTTTTATAACAATTTTACCAGGTAGTCGACAATGATAATTATTGTACGTTACCCTTGGCTTTTATGACATTTACCTTTTCATTATCTCGCCTTTTTAGACAATTTTAGATATATATATATATATATATATATATATATATATATATATATAGTTATAGATAGAGCTTAAGATATCATCCGAGTAGGATTATAAATTTAATGTATAATTTATTATAAAATTTTCATTCTTTTCCTCTAATCCTCGGTTAGATTTTCATCCAATTATATGGAATTTTGACAATCAGCATCCCCTCGAATCCAAACAAATTAATTTTCGAGTCAAGTTATAAGGGAATGATTTAATAATATTTGGGCCTTTTTATTTCTAATATATTCTTATTAATCCATCGACGAATCCCTTGAACGTAGGTAGACTTAGTTCGAATATAGTATCACTCGTTATAATATAGAAACAAAAAATTCATTTCTTCTCATCTTCCATGACGTGAAAACGAGCACAATTGTAAATGACTAGAATAATAAAAATTGTATAAAGGGCTATCCAAACTACAAACTGATATTATATGAATTACAATTCATAATGCTTTCTCTTTTGCTAAGCATTATCTCACTTATTAAAAATCACATTCATTTACCGTTAAAGCACAATCAATCAAGTTTATGATTATGTATACGACATAGTTGAAAAGGGGCGTTAAATAAAAACAAAAAACTTTACGGCATTTATCTCTTTAGAGATCGCTGAAGTAAATAATTAAGGCATTCATATTCTCCAATAATATTACCGTGTTCCAATAATATAAAACGACTTAGTAGTGACTGCAGTTGGAACCGACCATATTGATTAAGCCCTATTAATTCGAACAAAATTAATCGGCAAAAACTCTCCCGGTTCAATATTTTTCATCTAAAGGTAAAAATAAGAATAGACTGTAATAATAAGAGTATTCTTTATTATATTGTTTATTATATTATTATAAATCTATGTGCTTAACTTATGAATGAGACATCATTCTACCAAACTGTCAAATTCGAGTTTTACTTTGTCAGTGCACAGTACATATTTGAAATTCAATAATATTGATACAAAGGTAGAAGATGTGTATTATAATAAGCAAGAAAAAAATAAGTCAATGGAAGCTGCTTTTTTATTTCTATCATCGATATAAAATTCCGTCCATATTGTTTTTAACATGATACAACTTCATTACATTATACATTACTCCAATCAACTGTACCACGTTCCATTCATAACAGAATCAATCGTCAATGTCAAGAATTTGACATCTGGGAACGTTAAAATTAGATTAGATGAATTATGCTTGCAAGTAACTTGGTGATAATTCAATAGAATTATTTTATTATAATCTTATAATTTATCTCATTCTGCAAATGTTAAATAAACAATGCTGAATTTATATATGCGTCAATTTACAACTACGAATAAAGAAAATACTGCAATCAAAATGAGTGTTAAAATGCGAATTAAAATAGTCGAACAGTGAATATTGATTAAATTGAAACTGCTTGATTACATATCATATTCATATATATAATTAAACAATTATACAATTGAAATTAAGTTTCAATGTTCGTTCTGTGTCGTGTAGCCATAAGAATACAATTATCTTTTACATTCTTTTTACATATTTCAAAATTATTAAAAAATTTTAATTCATACGTGAATGTAACTTATATAACAAAAACTAATAGAATTAAAAGTGCCTTGGTCATCCAAAAAATTTTATAGATGCAAAATGAACTTCAAAGATACAGATTCATTATTTTATTATATACTAAATCTGCAATTTTAGATTCAATTAATATATGAAATATTTATAAAAAATTCTAAATACCAATATTAATACAATTCAAATCTAAACCTAAAAAAATATAAAACTTACGTTCTCTCTGTGGTACATAAAACATTAAACAATCAACTATTATTCCTCTAATGTTAGAAATAATAGCAAGTTTATATACCATAAAGCATATGAAATTCAGGAAAATGTAACTTTTTTAAGGCAAATTGCCAATTTTAGAACGAACCGAAAGAAAAGAGAAGAAAACAATGTAGAAAAACGTGAAAAGAAAACCAATTCGATATTTGTCCACTGCAACTCATTCATACCGTTCTTTAAACATTATTCTCAAATTTTTATTTGCATAAGTTTATGTGAATAATCGATAACTACTTGTAATAAAAGGAAAACGCAAACTCATATATGAAAAACAAAAATCTATGTTTAAATGTTGCACCACTTTTTATACATTTATATGAATAAAATTTATATGACTGTAATTACTAAATCTTTCATTCGTTAATATAGATAATTTTTTTTTTTTTTTTTTTTTTTTTTTTTTTTTTTTTTTTTTGTTTACTTCATTAATAAATAGAGTCGAATATATTATAGTCGAGCCAATTAAATGATAAATGTAAAAATCATTATTCACTCTCTTGATGAAATTCTGTAAACAGTTTTATATTTTAAAATAGAAAAAGTTATGATTAATAGTTGCATTAATATAACAAAGGATTATAATTAACTATATAAAATTAAAATATAAATAATTATTGAAATATACATGTCAACCTCTACTAAGATAACATAATATATAATAACTGATTGTGAATTGTTTCTATTATAAAATGATTTATATGCAAAAACTGCAAAAGTTATATAGTATTTTAATATATCATATGTTTTCTTAATGAATGATTAAATTAACTTAAAATCAATACTTATAAAATTCTTATAAAACAGTAAGATTTTAATTATTTAATGTAATTATTTAATTTTAATTATTTACCTTTCTTTCTAATTTATTCATGTGATTTCACACATTATAGCATGCAGAATATTTATGCATGATGGCAAATTTATACCTGATATCATTTTTTAAACATTTTGTTTGATTAATTCTTGCGTAATTAGAGAAAATAATTTGTGTAAAATTATTAAAACATCGTATTAAAAGAATTAAATTAAAAAATTTCTTTTAAATTAAAACTAAAATAACATTAGAAAATTTTATTTTAGAGAAAAGGAAAGAAATAAAATTAGAAAACTAAAAACATTAGAAATCATCGCTAAATTTCGGCAATAATTAAAATAATTTGTATAAAGAATGTAATTTTGTGTCAATATTCAAAATCATGAATAAGAATTAAAATTCTTTTACTCCGTAAGTTTATTACCTAATAATTTTAACCACGATCATTTAACAAAAATGTCTGAAAGAAATAAATGATTTGAATTTGTTTTTTAAATTGTTGATGAAAAATATAATATATTTCATATATTATTTTAGTATTATTTGCAAATATATTTCATTTTAAAATAATTCTATACTTTTATAAAAATCAAATATCCTATTAAGGATAATAATAAATCCTAGAGGATCCTATTAAGGAAAATAATAAACACTGCTTACTCGTAATTATTATTATGGCATTTTCACTCTACTTGCATAATTGGTAATGAAAGAGCTTTTGAGAAATGAAAAATATTATTGGAAGATAAAATTTTTT